CTGGAATGGGACAAGTCGGGCAAAGGCAAGGATAAAGAAGACACAAGCACTTAAGCACATATATGTTAGGTCAAATGTCAGTCCAATAGTACGTCATCCAAAGGAAAAAGAAAACAAACCATGGTGGGGTTGCCTCCCCACAAGCACTTCTTTACCGTCTTTTAGCTGGACGCCCATGGTGGATGCTCAATGGGGTGTAGGAACAGGTACCTCCAAGAGCGGATCCACATCGCTCTTGAGGTACAACTTTAGATGGTGGCCATGCACCCGACGGGTGTAACCACCAGCATTTGTCAGCTCGACCTGGCCATCTGGCAGGATGCAAGCGACTGAGTACTCGGATGGCCAGGGTGGTCGTGGTTCATGAGGTGGGACCAACTCATAGTGGTCGCCAGCTTTCTTCCGAGCAGGCTTAGCCACCTACGGCTTCGGCCGCCACTCCTCCTTGATCTTTTTATTTGGTAGTGAGGTCAAAGGGAGTGGCGGCGAAGAATTGAGAGGGGCGTCCTGCAAAATGAGAGGCATAGAAGGATACACGACAGGCTCGTGTACCCGGTGAGAAATAGCATGCATAGGTGAGGCAGCAGGCATATTATTATCAGCGATAGAGTAAGTTATCTGCTCCTTGCCATCTCTCAAAACCAAAGTCCCATCACGGACATCTATGAGGGCCCTGGCGGTGTCCATGAAGGGCCTTCCTAGAATAAGTGACACTTCTGTGTCTTCATTGATGTCTAAGACAACAAAATCCACAGGATAACAAAACCTGTCAACCATAACCATGTGGTCTTCCACTATACCCCTAGGAAGAACCACAGATTGGTCAGCTAATTGAATACTCATCCTAGTTGCGCTGGGTTCACATAGGCCTAGTTTTTTAAACAATTTGTATGGGATAACATTGATACTAGCACCTAGATCCGCCAGGGATCTCTCTACATGTAATTTGGCAATGGAGCACGGGATAGTGAAATTACCTGGGTACTTCTGCTTTTCTGGAATCTTGCTCTGCATAATGGCCGAGCACTCTTCGGTCAGCATTACTGTTGAGAGATCCCCAAGTCGCTTTTTGTTGGTAAGGAGATCCTTCATGAATTTTGCGTACTTGGGCATCTTCGACAGTGCCTCCACGAACGGCAGGCTGATGTTGACCTACTTTAGAATTTCCAAGAATTTGACAAACTCAGTCTCCAGCTTGTCCTTGTGTAGTCGAGTGAGGAAGGGGAGCTGGGGAACATGCTCCTTAACCACTGGTTGTGGCTTGGGGGCAGGTTCTTCCTTCTCCATCCTCACTTCTACATCGTTGGCTGGAAGTGCTGAAGCTGGTAGTGGCTCCTCCTGCCTGACCGGGGCAGGTTTTGCCGATGTTGGCTTGCCACTCCTGGTAGTGATGGCATTCAGCTGGTGGTGAGGCTCACGTGGATTAGAGATGGTGGTGGCAGGTAGAGTTCCTAGTGCCCTGGTATTGTTCTGGTGAGCTATTCCTCCAATCTGATTCTGGAGGTCCTGCAATATGGCACCTTGGTTCCTCTGGCCTACCTCCAATGAGGCAATGCTCTGGTCCTTCCTGGCAAAATTCGCCTAGCTGGTAGTCATGAATGACGTCAGAATGTTTTTCAGCTCGCTTACCTAATTATCTGGAGCTGGAGCTGCTGGTGGCTCGGCATACTGGCATTGCAACTGTTGAAATGGTTTCCCCTGTCTGGGCTGGTAAGGCTGCTGCTGCAAAAATGGACCCTATCAGGCCTTGAAGGGCTGCCTCTGCTGAAAACCACATGTTGGTGTTGATAAACCAGGTGGTTTAGTGGTGTTGTTGTTATTCCAGGAGAAGTTGGGATGTTGGCGCCACCCTTCATTATATGTTCCATTGTAAGGATCAAGGCGCCGAGCATTGGCGATGAAGTCCAACTACTCCTGGGGTGCAGAAGACTCCCGCATGGCCTGGCAGTCTTCCACCAGATGGTTCGAACTCTCACACCACTCGCAGTCTTCCCGCTCTAGCCCGGACTTAGCCTCCATGGCGTGCACACCTCGGTCCCGGGAACTCCTGCTTCTGGTGCTCTGCCCCCAAGAGTGATCCCCGACAGCCAGAGTACTGATCATCTGATTCAGCTCGGGTGGAGTCTTCATGAGAATTTCCCCTCCTGGGCATAGAGACTCGATCACCCTCTGACTCTTTGGGGTCAGAGCGCTTTATAAATTCCCCATTGTAAATGCATCACTGAAACCGTGATGGGGACATTGCCAGAAGAATCCTGCGTACCGCTCACAGGCATCACGTAGTGACTCATCTGGCTCCTGGCAGAAATGAGTTATCTCTAGCTGAATCTCCGTGGTCTTCGAGGCCGGATAGTACCTATGCACAAATTTGTTGGCCAAGTCGTCCCATGAGTGATGGATAGTGGGGGTTGGGTCTCTAACCACCTCTTCGCATGCCCCGCCAGAGAATTGGGGAAAAGGTGGAGACGGATCGCATCATCGAGTACACCATTCATTTTGAACCCATTTGTCAGCTGCAGGAAACGGGAGAGGTGCACCCTTGCCTCCTCATCCTTCAAGCCATGGAATTGGATTGAGGATGTAATCAGTTGAATCCAGCATGGCTTGATCTCAAAGTTGGTCGCTGGAATGGGCGGATAAAGGATGACGGGGTGGATGTCGGCGACCCGTTGAGTATAATAGTACTCCATAGTAGGACCCGACGGCGGCGGTGGATGTTGTGCCCCATCTTCCTGGGGGACTGGGTTGTTCCCCATGATCTGATTGGCTAGGGGAACCTGCATGGGCATCCCGAGGGGTAGGTTATGCCCCAGGTTAAGATTCCCCCTGTTATGCTCGTCGCCCATCTCGTATTCCTCTTCGGAGTCGCTACTCAGATGGTCGTCGACGTGCACTTCCTCTGTAGCCAGTCTAGCTCGCTGTTGTCTTCTTAGTTGGCGACAGGTGCGTTCTAGCTCCGGATCTAACGATATTAAACCTCCCGACTGGCTACAGGTCTTGCACTACCTGCACACAGCCAAGCAAGCAAACACGTGAAGGCACAAGTGGGAAAAGGCAAACAATTAAAGCAGAAAGGGAAATGCTAAAGTAAAGGAAATCACATTTCTTCAACAACCTAGCTGTCCTCGGCAACAGCGCCAAAAACTTGACTCGCCTCTACTGTCACACTAGAAAGTGGCCAAGTGTAACCACCTACTAATGCGTAGTATAGCGGGTTCAGTTCTAATTGTCAACACGGGTCCTAGGTGTCATGACTACTCCGTGAAAGTCTTATTATTTAGCGGTTCAAGTGTAGTGAATTTTTAACTAAACTAGCAAGCAAAAGCAGTGAAAGTTGTGTTCAAGTTGAGAGAGGTCACCCATATACGGTTCCCCCTAGACTGCAGTTAAGCCAGGTTATAATTCACCAAGTTCAAGTTCAAAGTTAGTTATACTGCAGGAGGTTCTTAAACATTCTGCAGTCTCGACTAAAGGTCTCTAGACCCTCTCAATCTGAGTCCCCAGCGGGCGACTAACCTCCACCGGAGTAAACAGATTGAGGCCCTAACGAACCAAACCTCCTCTACCGAAGTAAATTCAGTAAAAAAAAGTGAATTGACTCCTTGACTAAAGTCGTCAATTCACCACCTTCAATCAAGGGCGCTCTATCAACCTAGGCAGATATTCCCTTTCTAAGCCAAAGCTGAATAACAGGAATTTGATCAAGATTCATGCCATTCAAGAAATCAAACGTCAATTGAATATAATCATATCACTTAATTCGTACTTGGGTTCATACAATCAGACCTTACATACAAATCTAGGGTTCTTCCCACCCAGGTGAATGAGAAAGTTTGCTCCATAGAGAAAGAAGGGAAATCTAACTCAGATGCGGAAACCATACTGTGAAGGATGGTATTCTGCTTCTGGCAATCAATCGACACTTCTCCAAGCTCAAGCCGGGCTCCAATGGTGATGAAGATCGATCTAGGGCACTTGGAGAATCAGGTTCGTCACTCTCTCTCTCTCTCTCTCTCTCTCTCTCTCTCTCAAGGTATTAGCTTTGCCTCTCTAAAACTCGAAACCCTTCAAAAGTTGGCCTTCTTTGCCTTAAGAATCAGCAGACCACGATCCCCGGCCATAATACCCGGTCGGATATTTCCAGGTGTCTGGCCGGGGATTTCAAAATGCACAGCATCGCATAAGGGATTAATAGCCGGTCGTGGTGCAGAATACCCGATCGGGTATTTTTGCTCTCAAGTCGGGACCCCTTCTGCCTTCTTGACGTCCAAAAACAGTTTTCCCCATCCCCTCTTAGCATTTTACCCGGCCGGGTAATTTTAGCTCCTGTCCGGGTATTTTCCTCTTCCAGCGCCACTCACTCCAATGTCCAGCCCAAGCTCAAGCCGGGCTCCAATGGTGTGAAGATCGATCTAGGGCACTTGGAGAATTAGGTTCATCACTCTCTCTCTCTCTCTCTCTTTGTCTCTCTCTCTCTCAAGGTATTAGTTTTGTCTCTCTAAAACTCGAAACCCTTCAAATATTGGCTTTCTTTGCCTTAAGAATCAGCAGATCACGATCCCCGGCCATAATACCCGGTCGGGTATTTCCAGGTGTCTGGCCGGGGATTTCAAAATGCACAGCATCGCATAGGGGATTAATAGCCGGTCGTGGTGCAGAATACCCGATTGGGTATTTTTGCTCTCAAGTCGGGACCCCTTCTGCCTTCTTGACGTCCAAAAACAGTTTTCCCCAGCCCCTCTTAGCATTTTACCTGGTCGGGTAATTTTAGCTCCTGTCCGGGTATTTTCCTCTTCCAGCTCCACTCACTCCAATGTCTTCCGTGTTTACACGAAACTCATTTCCTCGCCTTCATATCAACGCCAAGTTCTGAAATATGAAATAAACACACAACCTAGCGTGAAATTGGCTTAAAACACGAGAATCGACTCTCAAACGGCTCAGGAGTAGAGGTATAATCATGTGCAATCAATGGCCTATCAGTATTCAAAAGGCTATGGGCACTCAAGTTCACTTCTCCACAACATACCATCCCAGATTTATGGACAGTCAGGGAAGATCCATCCAGACACTAAAAGACCTACTAAGAGCGTGTGTCTTGACAATGGAAGGAGCTTGGGATGAGCATTTTCCTCTAATGGAGTTTTCTTACAATAATCAGTATCACAGTTCGATACAAGCAGCTCCATATGAGGTTTGTATGGGAGGAAGTATGGTACATCGCTATATCGGGATAAAGAAGAAATGCGACAGCTAGAGGGTCCAGAGATGGTATAGAAGGCAGTAGAGAAGGTGGAGATGATTCACCGGAACTTGAAGGCGGCTCAGGACCGACAAAAGAGTAATGTTGAAAGGTTGGGAAACCCATGCAGTTATGAAGTGAGTGATATGGTATTTCTAAGGGTGTCTCCTTGGAAGGGAGTGATGAGATTTTGCAAGAAGGGAAAGCTTAGTCCAAGGTGTATCCGTCCATTTGAGGTGTTGGAGCGTATTGGACCCTTAGCCTATCGACTAGCCTTACCTCCTAGCCTATCTAGGATTCACGACGTTTTCCACGTCAACATGCTAAGGGCGTATCGGTCCAACCCGGAGCATGTGATCAGGCATGAGGACATCCAGTTGGAGGATGATTTGACCTATGAGGAGGTCTCATTCCAGATTGTGGATAGGCAGGAAAATGAGTTCAGGATGAAGAAGATTTCCATGGTGAAGGTGGTATGGAGGAACCAGGGCAGCGAGGCTGCTACTTGGGAGACAGAGAGTAGCATGAGAGAAAAGTAGCCAGAGTTGTTTAATGGTGCTTAGATCAGTAGTTGGTGAATCTCTGTGTACTTTCACGTTTAGTTCTCGTTTCTCAATTTTTTCAATAATAAACCTTATGGTTCAGTCAGGTTTCACAATAGTTAGCAATCCAGTTCAACCTACAATTTCGAGGTCGAAATTTCTTAAGGGGGAGGGAAATGTCATATCCCAACTAGCGTCATCCCTTCAACAACAGCGTTTCATCGTAAAAGTGAGTTCTATACCGTTCAAATTTTGGAGACGAAATTTTTATAAGGGCGGAGGAAATGCAACACTCCGACATTTGGGTTTAGGTTCGACCTTAATACGTGATCGGTTGGATTAACCGTTACATACTAAGAGTTGCAACCTCGGATTAAAATAATAATAATTATTATTATTATATATAAAAAAATATAATCCATGGGACGGGGCCGAGTGGTCCCAATAGTCAAACCCTTCCCCATTATTAATCTGAATGGCTATTTGAGGCCCTAGAAATTTGAAATTTGACGCGCTAAACTACCCAAACAGACAATTATACCCTCAATTAAATCTAAACTCTCAAACCCACCCACCCAACCTTACCCACCCACCCGCCCTTCCCTTCCCCAAACTTCTTTTCGTCTTCCTCCTCATACTCCCCTCCGCCAACTCCCATCCCCCACTGCCGCCACCGACCTCCCATCTCCCCAGTCGGCGCCCCTCTACCCGCCGCCTCCACCTCCCATCCCCCACTATCATCACCGACCTCCAATCTCCCCAGCCGCCAGCTGCTCTCCCAGCGCGTCTCCCTTTGCCGACTAGTCGAGAAGGAAGAAGAAGCCCGCCTCCTTACTTTCCTAGCTCTCCGTCGTCGTCGTCCCTCCTCTCCTCAACGTCGCGGCGTCTCTGTCCCTCCCCATTCTGGTAATTTATTTATTTGTGGCACCGGGAAGGAGGCGGGTTGAAAACATGTCTCCGCCCGCCGGCGACGAGTTTTCAACCCGCCTCCTTCTCGACAAGGCGGGTAAGGTATATGTCGGGTACCGGGTGAGGCAGGCGGGTTACCTTCTTGTACCGGGGCAAGGCAGGCAGGTTATCTGCCTCTCCACGGTCCGAGCAGGAATCTGACCCGCCCCGCCACGGTTCGTGCAGAAATCCAACCCGCCTAGTTTTTTTTAATGATGTGAATTTACAAACACATCCATGATTTTAGATTGTTAATCATTTGAATTATTTATTTTAATTAAAATTGTATTATATGGTTTGAGAATATAATGTAATCATTTTTTTTAATTATAATTAGCATTACCTTATATGGTTTGGAATCATAATGTTAATCATTTGAATTGTTAATTAATAGCGTACATGATTTTAGATTGTTAATCATTTGATTTTTTAATTATAATTAGTAGAGTTTTATATGGTTTGATAAAATACCTTCAATCATTTGAATGGTTGATTATAATTAGTATTCCATATATAGTTTGGGATTATAATGTTAATCATTTGAATTGTTAATCATAAATAAAATAGATTGTAATATAGTAATATAATGTGCATTTGAATTGATAAACATTAGTATGATTAATAATAATTATAAAAAATATAATTTTATTTTATTGATAGTTGGTAAAAATGAGCGGAAGAAGGGGCAAAGAAAAGTCTAAGACGGAAGGACGCAATGTTACTGTGTCTGAGTGGAGAAAACGTGCTGAGGAGAACTAAAGAACTCTTGATGAGAAGCGTCGGGTGAAACTTTCTCGACAAGAAGTAGCTCATCCTCCCCCCCCCCCCCCCCTTGCTAGGCTTCACAGCAGATTCGAGGATATGAGGACTTGTTGGAGGACACGAGCAACGATGATGGGGGTGACGATAGTGGTGATGATGTGGTTGATTTGGTGTTTCCTGATGCTTTTTACAAGAGTGAGCTTATAGTTGGAGATGGATTGGTAGGTGCCTCTAGTGGTCCGAGGATGGGTTCGACCGGTCATCAGTCCACTGGTTCGACCCATGCTAGTACTCGTGTCGGGCCTCTACGTGGCAAGGATGGGTGTTTCGCTTCTACTTCGGATGGGAGCGGATCTTCACGGAAGAAGAATTCGGAGGATGAGACGTGAAAGCTTACAGGGCCTGGTCCAGGGGGTCCAATGGACCCCAGTTTGATCCTCATTTTTGGTGGTCACATAGGACACCGTTTGTGGACTTTGGATTTGGATTACCAGGTGATATCAAAATTTCAATTCTACGGTCGATAGGGTGGAGTGGCGCGACTGGCAGCTCACTTGTTTGGTACTCCGGGTGCAGAGAACTTGATTAGGAAATCTGGTATGTACCACTTGAGGAGATGCATGATGCATAGTTTTTATTACCCTTTTTTGGAGGCATTTATTGAGAGGTGGCATCCGAATACCAACACGTTTCACATGCCATTTGGGAAGATGACGATCACTCTTCACGATGTTTGGTTCTTACTCCAGATTCGCATTGATGGAGAGGTACATTCTGCACCACATAAGGGTGACCCACCATATTTTAGTGGGTTTCTTGATCTTTTTGGGGTACAAGATACAAAAGATAAGACGGAGAATAACAAGCTTTGGTATAGCGGTGGAGGTTTGTTGGTTGATGAGGCCATGACACGTTTTCATGCGATGAGAGATGATGATGCTGAGGCACGAGGTTATTTATTGTGTTTGATAGGTTCCACACTTTTTTGTGGACAAGAGTTCTGATCGCGTTCGTGCATGGTTGTACTCATACTTCATGGAGCTTGATAGGGTTGGTCGATAAGCATGGGGTGCTGGTGCGCTTGCCTGGATGTATAGGCAGCTTGGGAAGTCTAGTAGAGCAGGTGCTATGGGTTTTTGTGGGTGCTTGACTTTGTTACAGTCTTGGATCTACAAGTATTTCCCATCCTTGCGGGTCACCAGAGGTGCGCCGGTGGCAGTGAGACAAGAAGACCCGTTTTTTCTAGGAGGTGGGATGTTTTGGTTCGTGGTGGGGGCCCTAATGAAGCCACATGGAGGTTGGATTACTATCATCAACTGTTGGACGGATTCACAACGGCACATGTGGACTGGCTTCCTTTTGGTGCCAACCCTAGCCGAGAGCATGCCAAATCTTTGTACCTAGGTCTGCTACGTGTCCACGACGTGGCTTAGGCTTACGATCCATCATGTACCGTCCGTCAGTTTGGCTACAGGAAGGTGATCCCTGATCCTCCTCTTCTACCATCCTTTGTCATTCGACCTACTGTTGGGACCTATAAGGTCATTTTTGGTGCCGACCTAGATCAGCTTTGGTACTCTCGTGGTCAGTTGATCAACCTGGATGCCTACTCTGCACCTTTTGATGCTACTGGAGATGTTCACCCAGACTACCTCATATGGTACACTTTACGCACTCACCTGTGCATTGTCCACCCTACAGATGGTTGTGAGGCGGCGGCGGCACCGCCGTTGACTTATGACATGGTAAGTTATATATATTTTTCACTATTGGTATAATTAAGTCTTTTTCACTATTGTTGCTGACACTAATCCTTTGCAGCTAGCGTGCCATATTATTGATGGCATTAATCCTTTGCTTGGTGCTTCTAATGAGAATCTTGAGAAAATGGGCGCATATGGTGATATGGTTCGACAAGTTCGTGAGATGCTCATCGAGTTTAGACGACAAAGACCTTACCGCCCGCTTACTTTTTAGTTGTTTGTGTCTCATGTTGACACTTTGTTTAATTTATGTTTGGATATTTGGATGTTGAAGGTTTGATATTTGGATATTGGATGCTTGATTTCTAGATTTTTAGATATATAGATGTTTGTTGTTGCATATTTGGTGTTTTTACACTAAAGATATCCTCCGAGAATTGAAATCGTCAAATGATTGGCAACAAGTTTTTACACTAAAGATGTCCTCCGAGAATTAAAATCATCTAATGACCATCCAAGTGATATAATAGAAAAACAGATATGCAACAAGTTTTAATCAATCTTCAACACCATTTGCTGGATTATGTCCTCCGAGAATGACATACAACTCCTGCTCCTGATCGTATAGCTCATCCCAATCTAGAATTGATGTCATATCACGAAAATGCATCCACTGTGGACTGAAAGGAGGCATTGGCATCATTCCATTGATAGTGCCAACTTCTAAATTCACACAGTGCATCCCAGTAAAAACTAGTGTCAGCATATAACTAGGTTGAGTAAACCATTCTGGTGCTATCAAAGGTAAGGCGGTGTACCCATACGTCTAACGGCCTTTCCACACTCCATATACGATAATCGCCCAGTTGTACATTGTTGCAAATGCTAGAAAATCCACCTCCTCGAGCCAATACTCTTGAGTGCAGCTTCCAGAGGTCTGATAATCCAACCTGTGATTGACAACAATGGTATAAAAATGCACAAATATAAAAATCGGTAATTCAGTCATGAATCTATAGAAATGTAACTTTGTAATCAAACCTGCGAATTACTTTCTCCTTTGATCCGTCTCTAGAAAGGTAGACCCCCTCATACAAATCCCAACGATTAGTGATTTATGTTATAAGATCTTGTGCCTCGTCGTTATGAATCGCATGTGACATGGCCCTAAAACCACATTGCCCGTGCGGATCTGGGTCAAACCAACCACCAACTAGATGGTGGATACTAGTTGGGACATAGCGGAGGTACGCCTTCGGCTCGTGGAAGAAAATGAGAGTGTATTTTAGATGCCTTCCGGATAGTAGCTGGTCCATGCTTGTAAATATCATCCACCATGGGTGCAAAAATGCCACGCTCAATGGTATCATGGTCTTCCCATTCTGCGCGATCAGGAGGACTCTCATACACCAAAGATGACCAGAATCGGTGTAAGTTGTGAGGGAACTACTCAACGCCGGTAACACTATATTCATCCATCAAACATTTTCATGGTAGACCATGTGTCTCAGGTAGCCGACATCCACATCTCTCAATAATTTCTCTTTGTTGTTCTTCCATCAACAACTCAATCGCCCACAAACATACTTTTGTATTCAAGTTACCATATGGGGGGCCATAGGCTAATGCAAATACCTATTACAATGAACAAATTTTGAAGTAAAAAACAAATGGAGTATGTAGGGAAATACTAACTTAAATGAAGCTAAAATGAAAATACCTTCAAACGCGATGCCTCTAAGTCCTTTCTCAATTCAATAACTCTTCCCTCAAGGAATGTGTGATATCTGCAGAAGAGTGTATTAATCTTGTGAGCCGAAGTGGCAAGCCATTTCTTCGAGGAGGAATGAGCTGCCTCCACCCTATTTGTGCTCGTGTTACCAATATGGAAAACACGATCTGTATAGCAATGAGCCCACCTTTGAGCACATGGTTTCCATGCACCTCTCAAGTAGCTCATCAACTCTGGAATTGTACCCCAGTGACCATTTTGAAATTCTAGCCAACGTCGTTCGAACCCTGCCTCTGTATTGGCATTAAAGACCCCCCCTCCTGGACCTTTTACAAATGCCTCGGCGGTTTCTCTACTCATCCTCATAGACATCATTTTGGCTTCAATGTTCCTCTTCATATGCCAAATGCATAATAAATGTGCCGATGATGGGAGACACCCATCCCTCCCTCCTTATTGGTGAGGAAAGCATCCGGTATTCGACCACCAAGCACAATCTTCAATTGCCTCAAAACCCAAGCATATGTCTCCTTCTTTTCGTCTGAGACCAACGCAACCCAATGTTGAAGTTCTTCTTCACCGGAGTAACACCAATCAACTGAACCAGTGGTTGCTTATACTTGTTGGTCTTGTATGTCGAGTCTATCAAGATAACAAAATACCATGCACTCAACATTCGAATCAACTCCGGATGGCAAAAGAAGAGTCTATTAGCATGACGCTCATCATCATACTCACACTCAACGAAGTAGCCAAGATGTTGAGCTTCTATCAATGTCCACCTCATCGGTTTTATCCCACCCAATCTCTCAAGCCTAATCTTTGATGTCTCGTTGTAAATTTGCTTCATATGGTGATGAGCATCATACTTCCTATTGACAAAACTCCTCATGCCTTTCGCCTCTGTATGTGTTGTCTCCATCTCTTTCAACTCTACTTTTTCTGCATTCGAAAGAGAATTTCTTTGCTTGCTCCCTTCAGAATAAATCTCCAATTCATGACTGTGAAATCCCCTCGACTTCCCAGGATTGTATTTTTCCGCAACACCAAAAATTCTCCACTCTCCCTTGCCATCTACCAATGTGCCCCACACTACCACTCGAAAACGACACTCTAAATTGCCCGATTTAGATTTGCGCCTTGTCTTCGCTGAATCTGGGGTATATGGTTTGCTTCTTCCATGGTGGTTTCAATCCATATATACCCGCAGTTATATTTCTCCACTGCTAATGTTTTGCTTAATTGATGTGATGACCAAGAAAAACCTATTCCTTTGGGCAATCTCATTTGCCACTGCACAAGCAGCATCTTGGCTATCATAAATGTCTTATGTGAACAATGATGTGTAATCATTATTGTCACCCTCATCATCTCCAGAACCACCCTACAAAAAATATACAGTAAAAACATACACGATTTAGTCATACAAGAATAATGTTTCAATAAGTTAACTAAAAAAAACAAATTGAGTACTTACTGAATCACTCATAACTACCTCCTTGTTATTTAATTGTGGTGGCTTCTACAAGGTCGGTCCTCCACCTTATAAAAACAACAAAGTCAATTTTTAGTGAACATACGTAATATAATAATCTAGGTGAATTTATCGAAAAAACTGTCCAAAATATCACAAAATTAGACCGAGACATGTCAAAAATCTGACTTAGCCGATAGTCAGACGGGTTAAAAAGCGGCCTCGCCATTGGACGAAGCATGTTTAAAATCTGCCTCTCTATGGAGCAGGCATGTTTAAAATCAACCTATCCCTAGAGAAGGCATGTTGAAAATATGCCTATCCGTGGACTGGGCATGTTGAAAAAAAGCCTCACGGGTGGGTTAGACAGTTTTTTGACCAGCCTGGTCCATGGTCGTGGCCGATTTTCAACCCGTCTAGTACGATTTTTCAGCAAAAAAGAAAAAAAAATCCGAAAATCTTACCTTTAATCCGACCACTGGTCTGCAATGCCTTTTGGGATTGACGAAAGTTGTTGCTCCGGCGACCTTTCCAGAATCCGACGAACACTCACCACTAAAAAATTGTTATGGGTTTTAGTGTTGTATGGTGTTATGATTTTAGTTTTTAGGTGGGTTTGGTGTTCTTTCTTGAGAGAATAAGGGTTCAAATGTCTTGGGTTTTACTACCCAAGAGGTTTGAACTCTATAATTAAAACAAGGGCATTTAAGTAATTTGAATATACTTAGGGCGCTAAATTCAAAAGGTTAGGGCGTAAAATAGCAACTCCCTTATTAATCTCCCCAGCAAAAATTTCCCCCCATCCCCAGGAAAAAAACTCCCCGCCGCCAGTTGCTTTGTCCGAGCGATACCAAGAGGAAAAAAGGAGAAGAGGGGGGCGTTGGTTCTCCCCCCTCCGTCACCACCTTGTGCCCGACCTTGATCCCATCCCTTTCGTGTTTCTAGGTAAGGAACATGAACCCTTTCGCGATTCCAACTCGATTCATCAATAATCTAATCCAAAACTCGTATTTTTGTACTATAGCGTTTGCGGCGAGGTTTGAGGGTTTGATCATCGATCAACGAGGAGATCAATGTCCCGGGTTATCCAATCTAGTCCTAGGAACGTTCTAGAGGTAAGGGAACTCGATTCCTTTGACTTAGATCGATCGATTTGGTGATTTTTCGTGAGGGTGAAATTCTGGGTTTTAGCAACTACCTTTACAGGCTTTTAGTGACCGATTTTGCGCGGTAAACAAAATTGCTGGGAATTTTCAGAAACATACTTTTAGATATTTTAATTTGGGAGGTCTAGGAGATGTCTTTAATTTAATTTGGGATTTTTGAAGATGAATTACTATTTTTAGAAATTAGATAAATGTCAATTTTATTTAAATAAAAATCATGTCGAGGTTTTTTTAAGAGTTTGATAATTTTCATGATCTTTGTTCTTCTGATTGATATGGAAAAAAAAATTTATCCAAATTTTTAAGGGGGTTCAAGTTAGATGAAAAATTCGTCCAAGACGAAAATAATTAGAAAAATGATCAGTTTTTGAAGGGATTGTTTCTATAAATTTTTTTAAAGGGGTTAAGGGACCTTTGGAATGAGGCTCAAGGACTGGATTTTGAGGAGAGGATGTTCTAGTGATTCAAAAGGGGTTTTTAAATCGAGAAAGGTCGACTAAGGAGATGAGTTTATTATTAATAGGTTCACCGAGATAATACGGCTAGGAGGAATTTCTTCGAGTAAGGAATCGAAAAGTCATATTTTAAGGTGAGTGTAAAGGGGATAAATTATACGCCTTACCTGCTCTTTCAAGTATTACGAGCTTTTAAGGATTTTGATGAAGAGATTGTCGTTGTTTGATTGTGCTTATGATTAATGATATGTACTTTGTTAGAGCTATGTTTGGAGTGAATATGTATGAGTTGTTATTTACTTTAAAGCTTTAATTTATGGGTTATTATTAAAGTGTAAGAAACAAGTTCTCCTTTTTAAGAAGTAACTCACCTTTAAGAAGGTGAGGTCGTTTTAAGTGTTTTTAGTCACTAGCGCCAGTCCGTTGCCATTTGAGATTTTCAGACAGAGCAACAGTTATGCTCTTAAGATATTTAAGATGAGCAACAGTTATGCTCTTGAGATTTTTAAGATGAGAAGCAGTTATGCTCTTGTGAATCGTGGAAGAAGAGCCTCCCACGATAAGTTTAAGTTTAAGGAAAGCCTGGATGGGCTCTCATACGTATGAGTTGGCAACCAGACTAGCTAGTGAGGGATCTCAGTGTCAGTCAAATATTTAAGTTGAGATTTGAGCTTTAAGAATAGATTTTAAAGAATGGAAGTACCATCCACCAGTTTAAGTTAAGTTCTTATGTAAGAAGTACTAGAGATTTCAAATGTAAGGGCGTAGACTGACCCCAACTCACTCACCAGATTGTAGAGGAGGAGATCATAACCAGCCAGTCCGTGATCAGGAAGCTAGGGGAGCTCAACACCATCATCGCTGAGGGATGTCAAGCCAGGCGTCTGAGTAAGCATCGAAGAACTCCTTAAGTTATTAAGACTTTCTGATTATGAGTTTAAGGCTGGAGATTCATTTCTTTTGTTTCTTTTAAGAGTATGATTTAAGTTTTGCCACGTGTTTAGGGCTTCTCTTTGAGATATTAAGATATTTGATATTGGTATTTTTTTAAAGTTGTGTTATGTGAGATTTTTAAATATACCACGGGGTAGAATGTCTTTTTCCAAGTTCAAAGTAGTGGGATGTTACAGTTCTAGTATGTTTTCAAAGACTGATTTGAGGTCAGGTTATCACCAAATTCGGATGAAGGAAGGAGATGAATGGAATACTACTTTTAAAATGAAGCATGGTCTTTATGAATGGATGTTGATTCCTTTTGGGTTGACTAATGCTCCGGGTACTTTCATGAGATTGATGAATCACGTGCTAAGGGATTTTATTGGGAAGTTAGTTGTTGTCTACTTTGATGACATTCTAATTCATGGAGGAGCATCTTGAGCATCTTCGAGTGGTGTTGACAACTCTAAGTAAGGAAGAATTATATGCCAATCTCGAGAAATGCATGATTTATACCTCAAGCGTGGTATTTCTTAGCTTTGTGGTTAATGTTGATGGAGCGGAAGTTGATGATGATAAGATGAAGGCTATTCAAGCTTGGCCTACTCATACTAGTATTAATAAAGTGTGGAGCTTTCATGGTCTCACTGGTTTTTGTCGAAGGTTGCTTCCAAATTTCATCACTATAGCCACACCATTAACTTTAATCATCAAGAAGAATGTGGCATTCTATTGTGGAGAAGAGAAAGACAATTGACACTGCGGGTGATAGGGTAATAGGTTCCTTCTTGCTTCCATATCCAAGATAGAAGATAGTAGCTCCATAGCAATCGTGAAAAGATATGACAATAAAGAATCGCCTTGCCAACTAGGGGTGTGCAATGGTCCGTTCTGTACCGGACCAAACAGACATTTGGACCAGATCGCACCGAATCGACTATAATGCAGTCTATTCCTTGGTCCTATGAATTTTATAATTACTGAAGAAAAAATGGACCAAATTAATTTTTGGACCGGACCAAACCGGACCGAAATGGACTAAATGAAATAATGGCCGTGTCCTTGGTCCTAAGATGTCTTTCACTATTGGACCACAATTCTCTTGAGTTTAATTTTGTCCAGACCAAACCTTTGGACACCCCTATGCCTAACCCTTTGTTTGGCTTTAAAAGTACGAAACAAGTTACCCTAAACTGTGACGCTAAATGTAGCGGAGGAAACATATAGATTAATCCATCCAATAATTTCTTGAGGGAAGTGCATACATTCCATCACACAGAAGAGAAACTCCCATAAAACAGAATCAGATGTCTTTTTCATATCAACTTTTAATGCACTACAGAAGGTAAAATGACCCCGGCGAGTCAGCTCCAGCGACAAGCTACACAGTTGGAGCAATATACGAAGCAAGCTATGGAAAAAGGAGAGAGTGGTACACCCTTTTTATGATAATTTTACTTTAGTTCCTAAGACATAAGTATGTTATCTAGGATGCTTCTCCCTTTAATGAAAGCTAATAGATTCAAACTAATAAATTGAGGCAAAACTGCTTTCAACCTATTAGATAGCACCTTAGACACAATCTTATACAAAACATTTATCCAAGCAATGGGCCCAAAAGAATTCGGCGACATTGCATTTGGACTTTTGGGGCAGAGAGTTATTGAAGTAGAGTTCATACCTTTTTGTATCCTCCCCTTAGTGAAAAACTCCTTAACCCCAGCAGTCACTAAATTACTAACTATCCCCGGGTCTTCTTATAGAAATTCACAGTCCAGTCATCTAGACACTGGGATTTGATGGGTCCATCTCAAACAAAGCACTTTTATTTCAACATCAGTAACTGTCATACACAAACTTGCTCCCTCCTCATCACTCAATTGTTTATGTATGTGCTGAGCAATAAACCCCATATCGACTCTGACTGCTGCATTTTCTATGCCAAACAAATTTTGATAAACTCCCACTATGGCTTGCGCAATTTCTTCAGTTTTTGTAACTTCCTGTCCTGAGTAAAGGAGTAAATTTATTATTTGTTACGTAGTAGCCCTGAATCTGAGAAATATATGAAAAAATGAGGTATTTGAGTCCCAAAGGGTA